AAAATCAGAAAAAAACATAAATGAAAGCATTTTTTCATAAAAAGAAGTCATAAAAAGCCATAAGCCATAAAATTTTCATAACACATCAAAAACATGATCCTTTGATGATTTTTCTTACCCTTTCAAATTCAAAAAATCATAAAATCATAAACATACCATTAAAAAACCATAAGCAAATCATTGAAAAACATCAAAAAATCATAAAATTCTCATAAAAAATCATCAACATTTCATTAAACAAATCATTAAAAAACAAAACATTTTTGATTTTTGATGTTTTTCTTACCCGTTCGAATTCATAAACAAATCAAATTTTGTCATAAACAATTCACAAAGATTTTTTCAAAAAAAATAAAAACTCATGAAAACATCATAAAATTTTCATTTAAAACAAAAAAAAATATTCTTTTGAAACGCTTTTTTTTTAACGATTCCGAGGCCCGGACTCTCCCTGGCCCAAGCGGTCCAAAAATCATAAATTTCGTCGAAAAAAATAAAAGCATAAATAATTTATATAATTCTTGTTTTAGCTAATTTTCAAAGTCTCAGCACTACATCCTTCACACTCTACACTTTAAACTCCACATTCCACACTCTAAACTCCACACTCAACGGTCCACACTCCACACTCTACACTCTACACTCCACACTTCACACTCTACACTTGAAACTCCACACTTTACAGTCCACACTTTACAGTCCACACTCCACACTCTACACTCCACACTCTACACTCCACGCTCTACACTTTACACTCCACAGTTTACACTTTACACTCCGCACTTTTCACATTCCACACTTTACACTCTACACTTTACACTCCACGCTTCACACTCTACACTCCACACTTTACACTTGACACTCCATACTTTACACTTCAGACTCCACACTCTACACTTTAAACTCCACACTCCACACTTTACACTATACACTCCGCACTTCACAATGTACACTGCACACTCCACACTTTACACCACTACTTTACACTTTACACTCCACACTTTACACTTTACACTCCGCACTTTACACTCCACACTTTACACTCTACTACACTTCGCACTCTACACTTTACAATCCACACACTACACTCCACACTCCACACTCCACACTCTACACTCCACACTTCACACTCCAAACACACTTTACACTTTACACTCCGAACTTTACGCTGTACACTCCACACTCTACACTCCTCACTCCACACTCCACACTCTACACTTTACACTCCACACTTTACACTCCCACACTCCACACTTTAAACTCCACACTCTACACTCCACACTCTACACTTTACACTCCGCACTTTACACTCTGCACTTTACATTCCACACTTTACATTCTACACTTTACACTCCCACACTCCACACTTTACACCCCACACTCCGCACTCTACACTCCACACTCTACGCTTTACACTCCGCACTTTACACTCTGCACTTTACATTTCACACTGTACACTCTACACTTTACACTCCTCACTGTACACTTTACACTCCACACTCTAAACTCCACCCTCCACACTCTACACTCCGCACTTTACACTCTGCACTTTACATTCCACACTTTACACTCTACACTTTACACTCCTCACTCTACACTTTACACTCCGGACTCCACACTCGACACTCTACACTCTACAGTGTACACTCTACACTTTCCACTCCTCACTCCACACTCTACACTTTACACTCGACACTTTACACTCCGCACTCCACACTCTACACTTTACACGCCACACTTTACACTCCACACTTTACACTTTACACTTTCCACCCTACACTCTACAATCCACACTTTACACTCCACACCCCGCACTTTACACTCCACACTCTACACTCTACACTTTACACTCTGCACTTTACACTCTGCACTTTACACTTCAGGCTCTACACTCTACACTCCACACTTTACTCTTTACACTCCTCGCTCCACACTTTACACTCCACACTCCACACTTTACACTCCACACTCTACACTTTACACTCTACACTCCACACTTTGCACTCCACCCTCTTCTGCATTCCACAGTCTACAGTGCACTGGTACGGTAACAGGGGACAAATGTAGACTGTTCAAGTAACTTGATTCACTAAAAGTGTTCTATGTGACTGCATTCGGGTTTGTGGGCTGCATCTTGTTTTTTTTTAAAAAATTAACCACATTGTAGACGCATTGTTTGTGATTGCATATCATATCGCGCCATAGCACATCATGTCATTTGATATCATATCATATCATGCCAGTAGTACCGCACAAGGAGAGGTTGGTTGTTATGAATCACGGATGGCAGAGCGAATCCACGATGGACCGACAGGTGGTTGGAGTTGTGTTTTTTGGAATGGTTGCAATGGTTGCAGTGGTCACCTTACCACAGCTGCTGGATGTAGTGTGGTGTAGTGCAGTTGTAGTTGCAGTTGTAGCTGTAGTTGTAGTGTAGTGTAGTGGAGCTGTAGCTGTAATGTAGTGTAATTAATTTATTGGCAAGTGCAGTTGCAGTTGTAGTCGTGGTGTGGTGTAATTAGTGTAGTGTAGTGCAGTGTAATGTCGTATAGTGTAGTGTAGTGTAGTGTAGTGTAGTGTGGTATAGTGTAGTGTAGCCTAGTGTAAGTTAGTGTAGTTGTAGTTGTAGTGTAGTGCAGTCTAATTAGTGTAGTGTAGTGTAGCGTCGCGTCGCGTCGTGTCGTGTAGTATGTGTAGTGTAATGTAATGTAGTGGTAGCTGTAGTTGTAGTTGCAGCTGCAACTGTAGTTGTATTGTAATGCAATGTAATCAGTGTAGTGTACCGTTTTGCAATGTAGTGTGGTTGCAGTTGTAGTTGTATTTGTAGTTGTAGTGTGCTGCAGTGTAATTAGTGTAGTGTAGTTATAATTGTAGTGGTAGTTGTGGTAGTAGTTGTTGTGTTAGTTGCTAGTGTAATTCGTGTAGAGTGTAGTGTAGTGTAATTAGATGTAATTAGTGTAGTGTAATGTAGCGTAGTATATTTGTATTCGTAGTTGTAGCAGTAGTGTAGTGTAGTGGTAGTTGTAGTTGCAGTTGTAATTGTGTATCTATCTGTCTAATCTATCTAAATCTAATCTAATCTAGTCTAGTCTAGTCTAATCTAACCTAATCTAATCTAATTTAATCCAATCTAATCCTATCTAATCCTATCTAATCCTATCTATCTATCTATCTGTCTGTCTGTCTATCTATCTATCTATCTATCAATCAATCAATCTACCTATCGATCTATCGGTCTATCGATTGATCGATCTATCTATCTATCTGTTTGTCTGCCTGCCTGCCTGCCTGCCTGTCTGCCTGCCTGTCTGTCTGTCTGTCTGTCTGTCCTGCAAGCTTGAAAATGCAGCAATTCTCCGAGACTTCCTCGATTTTTGAACTTGACAACATCAAAAACGAAACAATTCTGCGAGACTTCCTCAATTTTCGAAGTTGACAACATCAAAAACGAAACAATTCTGCGAGACTTCCTCAATTTTCGAAGTTGACAACATCAAAAACGAAACAATTCTGCGAGACTTCCTTCAAAAATGGAAAGTTGAGTGCAGAGCTGACGGCCTCGTACCAATGCGTTTTGACTCCACGTGTCTAAAGTACCGCGCCTGCCACGAAAAAGTGATGCCAGGTCATACGAAGTGCTGCACCTGTCGCGCAAATCATTTCAGTAAACCTGAAGATCTGATGCTCCAAAATGCAACCCGTCTGAGGAAATCAGCGCCCGGACCTCCTAACAGCTCTGATGAACATGTCTCTTGTACCGCGCCTGCCAGGGAAAATGCATCTTTGCAGATCTTCTTCAAATGTCCCACGCCTGCCATCGGTTTTGGAAATGCTACAAAACCCTCACATTTTGCTCACTTTTGACAAGGTGCACAATCCCTTGCAGCTGCCACGCGAAACGACACCTGAACGTCCAAAAGTGGTCCGAACATGTGGTATTTTTAACATTTTGACTTGGAAATGTGCTTCGCGCCACAACGCCGTACACTTTTTCGACAGCTCAATTCCTACAAGTGCTCCTGAGCTGAAGTGTTTTGTACATTTTGACTTGGAAATGTGCTTCGCGCCACAATGGCGTGCACTTTTTCGACATCGCAACTTCTAAAAGTGCTCCTGAGCTGAAGTGTTTTGTACATTTTGACTTCGAAATGTGCTTCCGTGTGTTTTGTACATTTTGACTTAGAAATGTGCTTAACGGCGTGCAATTTTTCATCTCTCATTTGGCCAGCTGGCGACGCTTTCGCGAGCCTACTTTCGACCCTTCGGGGCGACAAATCATTGGAAAAACACAGTGTCTCGCGACTTTCCTGCCTTTTCGCGCACCTGGATCTTCTTTCTTCTGAGACATTCTCTTTTTTGATCTTCTTTCTTCTTTCTTCTTCTCTTCTTCTCTTCTTCTCTTCTCTTCTCTTCTCTGACTCTTCCCATCTCTGCCTTTTATCTGTCAATATTGTCGGAAGTTTGACTTCAGAACTTTCTTCGACCATTTCAAATCAAATCAAATCATATTGTATTATCACATAATGTCATACCATGATTTTTCTAGAATCATCAACATCTCGATGCTTCCACCCTGTGCTTTTGATCTCTGCCATAACCTCGATGTCCCAGGATGGTCTGACCGGAAGCGCCTGGGGAGACTGGGCCAACTACACAGCATCTCCTTTGCGCGCATTCGAGAATGAACTCGGCGTGCAGGCGCCCGTGGGTTTCTGGGATCCGGCCGGATTTACCGCCGACGGAAGCGTGGAGGACTTCAAGCGACGTCGCGCCACCGAGATCAAGCATGGTCGCATTTCGATGTTGGCCACCATGGGATACATCACCCCAGCGACTTGGATTTTCTGAAGCTGTGTTTAAAATCGTTTAAGATCATTTCAGTAAAGATCATTAAAGCATGTTGTTTGTTAATGGCCATTTCTGCAATTCCACTGTAGTTGGGTGAACCTACTGGCAATGTGTTTTTTTTCTTGAATGCATCCCGATGAAACAATCCCCAGGAGATCACTGGCAAATTCCCTGGCTACTTATCTCCATCCGCCGGTTTGAAGTTCGCCGACGTGCCTAATGGTTTGGCTGCCATCTCAAAGGTCCCAGCCGCAGGACAGGGTTGAAACAACTGGATCCATCTGAAAATCAAAGCCATATATATATATAGATTTATATAACATCCGTTAAACACGATTGATATGTTTGTGCACACACACAATGATCAAAGGAAGTTTAGGGGGAGAAACTTCCGTGTTACGGACTTTTAGAATGTCAGGGAAAGAGTTAGTCACAGAAAGAGTTAGTCAAAGAAGAGTTAGTCAAAGAAAGAGTTAGTAAAGAAGAGTTAGTATAAGAAAGAGTTAGTGAGGGAAACAGTTAGTCAGGGAAAGAGTTAGTCAAAGAAAGAGTTAGTGAGGGAAAGAGTTAGTCAAAGAAAGAGTTAGTGAGGGAAAGAGTTAGTCACAGAAAGAGTTAGCAAAGAAAGAGTTCGTCAGGGAAAGAGTTAGTCAAAGAAAGAGTTAGTCAAAGAAACAGTTAGTCAGGGAAAGAGTTAGTCAAAGAAAGAGTTAGTGAGGGAAAGAGTTAGTCAAAGAAAGAGTTAGTGAGGGAAAGAGTTAGTCAGGATATATGAGGTAGTCAAAGAAAGAGTTAGTGAGGGAAAGAGTTAGTCAAAGAAAGAGCAAAGAAAGAGTTAGCAAAGAAAGTGTTCGTTAGGGAAGAGTTAGTCAAAGAAATTGTTCCCGCAATGTAAATGGGATTGCACGTGGTGCTGGTGGATGAGTTGCCGATGGAATTCCATTGTGATTTGCAACTCTAGGATCGTTCCCTCACTGTAAATGGGATTCACACGTGGTGCTGGTGGAGGAGTTGCCGATGGAGTTTTGAAGGAAGTCTCGCACGAAATGCGGTTTTGAGAGATAGCAGATGCACCAAACCCTGTGTTTTTCCATACAAAGTCCGTCCCCGAACGCCGATGATCTACCTCTGCGGTGCGACGGGTGCGAGACGGTCTCGTGTGTGGTCGGATCATGGTCGGATATTCTCGGATCATGGTCGGATCGGTTCCGCATTGTAAATGGGGTTTCAAGTGTTTTTCGTGCATGTGCGGTCGACAGAATTCCATTATGATTTGCAACTGTAGGATCGTTCCCGCAATGTAAATGGGATTGCAAGTGGTGCTGGTGGATGAGTTGCCGATGGAATTCCCATTGTGATTTGCAACTCTAGGATCGTTCCCTCACTGTAAATGGGGTTGCAAGTGGTGCTGGTGCATGGAGGAGTTGCCGATGGAGTTTTGAAGGAAGTCTCGCACGAAATGCGTTTTTGAGAGATAGCAGATGCACGAAAGCCTATGTTTTTCCATACAAAGTTCGTCCCCGAACGCCGATGATCTACCTCTGCGGTGCGACGGGTGCGAGACGGTCTCGTGTGTGTGGTCGGATCATGGTCGGATATTCTCGGATCATGGTCGGATCGGTTCCGCATTGTAAATGGGGTTTCAAGTGTTTTTCGTGCATGTGCGGTCGACAGAATTCCATTGTGATTTGCAACTGTAGGATCGTTCCCGCATTGTAAATGGGGTTGCAAGTGGTGCTGGTGGATGAGTTGCCGATGGAATTCCATTGTGATTTGCAACTCTAGGATCGCTCCCTCACTGTAAATGGGATTGCAAGTGGTGCTGGTGGAGGAGTTGCCGATGGAGTTTTGAAGGAAGTCTCGCACGAAATGCGTTTTTGAGAGATAGCAGATGCACGAAAGCCTATGTTTTTCCATACAAAGTTCGTCCCCGAACCTCGATGATCTACCTCTGCGGTGCGACGGTTGCGAGACGGTCTCGTGTGTGGTCGGATCATGGGCGGATATTCTCGGATCATGGTCGGATCGGTTCCGCATTGTAAATGGGGTTTCAACTGTTTTTCGTGCATGTGTGGTCGACAGAATTCCATTGTGATTTGCAACTGTAGAATCGTTCCCGCATTGTAAATGGGGTTGCAAGTGGTGCTTGTGGATGAGTTGCCGATGGAATTCCATTGTGATTTGCAACTCTAGGATCGTTCCCTCACTGTAAATGGGATTGCAAGTGGTGCTGGTGGAGGAGTTGCCGATGGAGTTTTGGAGGAAGTCTCGCACGAAATGCGTTTTTGAGAGATAGCAGATGCACGAAATTCTATGTTTTCCATACAAAGTCCGTCCCCGAACCTCGATGATCTACCTCTGCGGTGCGACGGGTGCGAGACGGTCTCGTGTGTGGTCGGATCATCCTCGGATTGGTCTCGGATCGGTCTCGGATCGGTTCCGCATTGTAAATGGGGTTTCAACTGTTTTTCGTGCATGTGTGGTCGACAGAATTCCATTGTGATTTGCAACTGTAGGATCGTTCCCGCATTGTAAATGGGGTTGCAAGTGGTGCTGGTGGATGAGTTGCCGATGGAATTCCATTGTGATTTGCAACTCTAGGATCGTTCCCTCACTGTAAATGGGATTGCAAGTGGTGCTGGTGGAGGAGTTGCCGATGGAATTTTGGAGGAAGTCTCGCACGAAATGCGTTTTTGAGAGATAGCGATTGCACGAAAGCCTAAAATAATGTTTTTCCATACAATTCGTCCCCGAACCCTCGATGATCTACCTCTGTGGTGAATGACTAGAGCGCCAAAAGTTCAGATTGGGGCCATTGGAGAAAGCCGAAGTCTCTGGTACGCTTTGCGTCGCCACAGAACCAAAGCTCAGTGCGCAGAATGGCTCAACATCTTGCACAGCAACAGTACGTGGTCTTGCCGCAGAGGGATCAATTCTCGTTTGACTGCCGAGGGCTGGGTGTGCGTTGTTGTGAACCGCATCCGAGTCTGAATTGCTGTGCTTCAGTAGCTTCGCCTTTCATTTCGAGTTGCAGACGGCAGAATGCCTGTGTCACTTCATTTTCGTTTCTGTATTGCATACATGTGACAAAAAAGGATCTTTCAGATTTTGGCTGCTTTCAATTTAAAATCAACTTTTTCTGCTCTGGCGTTGGAGTGTGAAGGAAGCAGTGGGAAGTGTGAAGTGTGAAGTGTGAAGCGTGAAGGAAGCAGTGGGAAGTGAGAAGTGTGAAGTGTGGAGTGTGAAGTGCGAAGTGTGAAGTGTGAAGTGTGGAGTGTGAAGTTTCAAGTTCGGAGTGCGAAGAGTGCAGTGTGAAGTGTGGAGTGTGAAGACTTTGCTTCGTCTCTCGCTGAAAAAATCAAACGGTTGTCGAGGGAAGGACACGGTCGGGACAGGGTGTCTTTGAACTATAGGTCATTTATGTTTGGGAAACTTCCGCCGCCGGCTTGCCCAGGTTTATGTTAAAATGATAACTATTTGATATCTAGTTGATGATTAAATATACAGTATTACTGGTTGTTTTGCTGATTTATGTGTGTTGTTGAGAGGCCTAGTATGCCAACCCTGGAGGATGGGGTCAGATCTTGGCCTACATGGCTTTCTGCGAGGTCTCCCAGGAACAGACCCCAGGAAGTGCTGCGTATGCTGGAGACTTTGGATTCAAGGTGTTGACCGCTTCTGACCCGGCTGAGAAAACCAAAAAGCTTAATGCCGAAATCGCTAACGGAAGACTTGCGATGATGGCCATCATCGGCATGTTTTTCCAGGCGGGGATAGGGTTCTGTGCGCATATTTTGTTTCTTACAACTCCACAAGACAAGAAACACCACAAAGAGTGTGTCTGAAAGAGTGCAACAATGTAGAGCAGCAGCTCAACCGAATCAACGTCGTTCAAGAAAGAACCACAATTCTGTGTCAATTTGAAGTTTTTTTTCCTGCGAGCCATGCTTTCAGCACACCGCGTGTTTGATTGTTTGATGTTGTTCTTACTGCTATATTTACACATATGTTTGCCAATAAGGTGAGTTGTAGAATGTGACGGGAATGAATAGTTTCATGATGTGACATGCACAGACTGTACAATTGATACAATGCCGTCGAAGCATGCACAAAGACATGACATCTGCAGATTTGATACTTTTATTTTTGTTTATTAACCACATTGTATACACATTGTTTGCGATTACATATCATATTGCGCCATAGCACATCATTTCATTTGGTATCATATCATATCATATCATATCATATCAAACCCAGTCATATCAAATCCAATCATATCATATCATATCAAATCATATTGTATTATCACTTAATGTAATACCATGATTTTTCTAGAATCATCAACATCTCGATGCTTCCACCCTGTGCTTTTGATCTATGCCATAACCTCGATGTCCCAGGATGGTCTGACCGGAAGCGCCTGGGGAGACTGGGCCAACTACACAGCATCTCCTTTGCGCGCATTCGAGAATGAACTCGGCGTGCAGGCGCCCGTAGGTTTCTGGGATCCCGCCGGCTTTACCGCTGACGGAAGCGTGGAGGACTTCAAGCGACGTCGCGCCACTGAGATCAAGCATGGTCGCATTTCGATGTTGGCCACCATGGGATACATCACCCCAGCGACTTGGATTTTCTGAAGCTGTGTTTAAAATCGTTTAAGATCATTTCAGTAAAGATCATTAAAGCATGTTGTTTGTTAATGGCCATTTCTGCAATTCCACTGTAGTTGGGTGAACCTACTGGCAATGTGTTTTTTTCTTGAATGCATCCCGATGAAACAATCCCCAGGAGATCACTGGCAAATTCCCTGGCTACTTATCTCCATCCGCCGGTTTGAAGTTCGCCGACGTGCCTAATGGTTTGGCTGCCATCTCAAAGGTCCCAGCCGCAGGACAGGGTTGAAACAACTGGATCCATCTGAAAATCAAAGCCATATATATATAGATTCATATAACATCCGTTAAACACGGTTGATATGTTTGTGCACACACAATGATAAAATGATAACTATTTGATATCTAGTTGATGATTAAATATACAGTATTACTTGTTGTTTTGCTGATTTATGTGTGTTGTTGAGAGGCCTAGTATGCCAACCCTGGAGGATGGGGTCAGATCTTGGCCTACATGGCTTTCTGCGAGGTCTCCCAGGAACAGACCCCAGGAAGTGCTGCGTATGCTGGAGACTTTGGATTCAAGGTGTTGACCGCTTCTGACCCGGATGAGAAAACCAAAAAACTTAATGCCGAAATCGCTAACGGAAGACTTGCGATGATGGCCATCATCGGCATGTTTTTCCAGGCGGGGATAGGGCTGTGTGCGAATATTTTGTTTGTTACAACTCCACAAGACAAGAAACACCACAAAGAGTGTGTCTGAAAGAGTGCAACAATGTAGAGCAGCAGCTCAACCGAATCAACGTCGTTCAAGAAAGAACCGCAATTCTGTGTCAATTTGAAGTTTTTTTCCTGCGAGCCATGCTTTCAGCACACTGCGTGTTTGATTGTTTGATGTTGTTCTTACTGCTATATTTACACATATGCTTGCCAATAAGGCGAGTTGTAGAATGTGACGGGAATGAATAGTTTCATGATGTGACATGCACCGACTGTACAATTGATACAATGCCGTCGAAGCATGCACAAAGACATGGCATTTGCAGATTTGATACTTTTATTTTTGTTTATTAACCACATTGTATACACATTGTTTGCGATTACATATCATATCGCGCCATAGCACATCATTTCATTTGAAATCATATCATATCATATCAAATCATATCAAATCATATCAAATCATACTGTATTATCACTTAATGTCATACCATGATTTTTCTAGAATCATCAACATCTCGATGCTTCCACCCTGTGCTTTTGATCTCTTCCATAACCTCGATGTCCCAGGATGGTCTGACCGGAAGCGCCTGGGGAGACTGGGCCAACTACACAGCATCTCCTCTGCGCGCATTCGAGAATGAACTCGGTGTGCAGGCGTGGTGGCAGTTTTGGCAAAGAACAAATTCCATTGGGTACGGTACGTGTTTGAAGATTTGTGCAGATGTGATTTCTCACCACGACCAAGAGACCATGTTTACACACGCATTCACACCTTGTCACCTTGTGACAAACAAGAGACAGACAGCCATTTATAGTCATAGATCACTGGCCATTCTAGTACACAATATCCCATTACACTACGACTTTCTCACGTTCCATTGAATTACGCACTTATACATGCGTTACAACACACTGAATTGCGTGACGTTGTGTTGGATCACGTTCCATCATGCCACATCATACTGTATCATTTCCCTTTTCATGACATACAGCAATTAAATCACATTGCAGGGGGTTATCTGACCTCACTGTCCGTTTGGCAGTACACCGTGCACACATTGCCAAACATATGCTATCACACTATGACTAACACCGCATAGCATGACGATGCTTCGCACGTAAGCGACATGCCTCCATGCAGCCATGCATACATTCGTATACACAACTGCCTACACAGCGTATTTATATGTATATATGTATACATAATTATACATATATATATATATACATATATATATATACATATATATATATATACGCATATCATCATATATCTATCGATCAATACGGATGTAGTTTTTTTTTTTGACATATGCTCATTATATACATACACAAATAGCCTTTTACATCAATAAGCGTTCGTTCACATGTATATAGATATACATGAATATACAGGTATCTGCGGACTTGCATGTATGCACATGCATATTCGCATACACCCATCTATATTTGCAAATTCATTAATTCCCTTATAAATATACACGCCCGAAATCCAACGTGGAACTGCATGCTATTCCTGAGGTCTCCTAACATGAACCTATGGTACGGTCTCAAGTGGATTTTGTTCCCCGGGAAATCATGCAACTAATTTTTTCAATAAAATCGCTCAAAAACTGACATGGAACCCAATGCAGGCCCAAACTGAACCCAAACTGCGCCCTGAAACAACCAACATGGAGTTTGAACAAGTTATCACACAGCGATCTGCAACCTTGAAGGGTGATTTGAAGGTTAACCTGGAACCCAAGTGGTTTTTAAGGCGTTTTCCTTGAAAATTCCATGTTAGTGACTTTCGGGCGACCCTACTTTTCACTTCGTATTGCGCTCACGTTTTAATAACTATTCAGGTTCCAGGTCTGTGGTGGGGAAAGAACTGAAACCAAAACACCTCCAAGAAAAGGTCGTGACTTAATTTTGGATATGTGTTGGGTTCCGTGTTCGTCGCACAACCTTCCAAAGTAAGCCGCAACAGGCAGAAAACTTGACAGCGAAGAGAGAAAAAGCAAGCGACATGAAAGGATAACAAATATCAGCAAACTAAGAAAGAGATGGAAAGAGCAACAAGGAGCAAAAGAAAGACAAACGTGACAACTTTATGGTGAATTTGCTGGAGCTGGTCCCCCCAAAAGTTAAACTCGTTGGGTTCGATGTTGTTTTCCGTTGTGGGTTCGACGACCACGCCCGGGGGACACAGCGGGTTGATGGAGGAGAGCCTGACCAGGGGGAGCATACGGGGAGACAAAATGTGGCCACCAGTCCAGATTCAGCCCAAAAACGTCCAAATGGCACATTTTCGCCTTTACCAAGTGTAAAGGAAAACTAGGATCCCTAAATCCATTCAAATCCCGGATTATTTTTTTACTTGTTTTTTTTTTTCTGCTGTTCACTTCCTCCAATGAAATGCCCATTCAGGTTCCAAGTTAGTTTTCGGGTTCCTGGAGTCTGGTATGCAAAAAAACCACCAGTCCAGATTCAACCCAAGCATGCTGGGGAAAACATTCACCAAATGCCACTAGACCTAAGAAAAACTAGGGCTGAGTGGCGCAACATGCTCCAAAATATGCTTCCCCATCCCACCCCAGGGGAGAGGGATTGCTTGTTGTTTTTTTTTTTTTAATTTTGTTGGTGCCAGGCCTTCTGCCAATAAACATGTAGACATGGGTGGGGAAAAATGATAAGGTTCTTTCATGACAAGGTTCAACTTATGTTTTTTTTTATCGGTTGGGTTCCATGTTGGTTTCGGCTGCAAACCAAAGCCACACATGCAAAAGCTGCAAACCAAAGCCACACATGCAAAGCCTTGCTGCAAGCGACGGCTCACGGAGCACGGACAACGGGGTTTTGTTTTGTTGGCTTCCATGTTGGTTTCCAGCTTTCAGGGTATGGGGGAGGTCACCATGGAAAAGGTACCATGGGGGTCCATGTTGCGTTCCATGTTGGTTTCAGGGAAAGGTACCGTGGGGGTCCATGTTGGGTTCCATGTTGGCTTCTATGTTGGTTTCCAGCTTTCAGGGTATGGGGGAGGTCACCATGGGAAAGGTACCATGGAGTCCATGTTGGCTTCCATGTTGGGTTCCATGTTGGTTTCCAGCTTTCAGGGTGTATGGGGGAAGTCACCATGATGGGAAAGGTACTGTGGGGGTCCATGTTGCTGTTGGCTTCCATGTTGCTTGGTTTCCAGCTTTCAGGGTATGGGGGAGGTCACCATGGGAAAGGTACCGCGGGGTCCATGTTGGGTGCCATGTTGGCTTCCATGTTGGGTTCCAGCTGCGAGGGTATGGGGGAGGTCACCATGGGAAAGATAGCGGTTGGGTTCCATGTTGGTTGCCAGCTTTCAGGATATGGACCGGGTGCTCCAGGCGGACCTTCCCCCGTTGGGTCGAAGTCCTCCCGTTTGGTCAACGTGGAAACTAACTTGGGACCCGGTAAGTGTCCCCGTGGCTTTGGCGCCCGGAGGCCCCGCCCGGAGCTTCCCCTGTCGGGTCGAAGTCCTCGAGCAAGTGTCTCCCGCTGTGTCAACGTGCAATCTAACTTGGAACCCGGTAAGTGTTCCCGTGGCTTTGGCGACCGGAGGCCCCAGCCCGGCTTCCCTGTGGGTCGAAGTCCTCGAGCAAGTGGGGCGGGGGGTGGGGGGCGGGTCGCCGGGCCCGGGCGCTGGGGTGGGGGGGGGGTGGGCGTCGCGGGTGGGGGGGGCGGGGTCATCCCGCTGTGTCAACGTGCAATCTAACTTGGAACCCGGTAAGTGTTCCCGTGGCTTGAAGTCCTCGAGCAAGTGTCTCCCGCTGGGTCAACGTGCAATCTAACTTGGAACCCGGTAAGTGTTCCCGTGGCTTTGGCGACCGGAGGCCCCGCCCGGAGCTTCCCCTGTTGGGTCGAAGTCCTCGAGCCGTTGCGTCTCCCGTTGGGTCAACGTGGAAGCAAATTTGGAACCCGGCAAGTGTCCCCGTCGCTTTGGCGCCCGGAGGCCCCACCCGGAGCTTCCCCTGTTGGGTCGAAGTCCTCGAGCCGTTGCGGCTCCCGTTGGGTCAACGTGGAAGCAAATTTGGAACCCGGCAAATGTCCCCGTGGCGTTCGCGCCCGGAGGCCCCACCCGGAGCTTCCCCTGTTGGGTCGAAGTCCTCGAGCCGTTGCGTCTCCCATTGGGTCAACGTGGAACCTAACTTGGAGCCTTTGGTGCCCGGAGGTTCTGGCCGGAGGTCCTCCCAACGGGAAGGCTACAATTCAATGAGAAACTGAAAAATGTTACGTTTATTGTGGGTAAATGGGAAAAAGTATCTGTATAACATATCAAAAATTGAAAATGAATAAATAGTTTGAATATATGTTTTTGTTTACTCTTAATGTTTTGAATATGTTTTCGATGTGTTTGTAAGATGTGTTGAGGATTTTTTTTTCCGTGTGTGTGTGTGTTTTTGAACATGTACAGTATGTGTTTATATTTGTCTTCAGAATTTGTACTTTGGAATTTATCTTGGACAAAATGACTCATTGAGTCAAAAGAGCTATTATGTAGCATCTTACATCCATCAACCACCACAAAGAGCATAATGGTTCCGAATTCCTCGTGTCAGCCGCCATGGCTAACATGGAACTTTTGGATGAGCACTCTCTGGCAGCTTGTGGGGTTGTATGTTAGTATGCCATGCAGCCAAAAATTGTGCAAACATGTCCAAATTCACTAGCATCAACATGGCACCACCTACCTGGCACTTATCCCGCTCATGAATTTTAACATGGGTGCGCTAACATGGAAACCATTTTTTTTATTTATTTTTTGCCCAACGTTAGTTTTCGGGAGAGTATATATTATATATATACACATAGACGCACTTATGCCAACATGATATACATATGAAAGTATATATTTTAAAAGAGATACGA